AACCAAAGTGCGATATCCCTTGCAAAAAATGTAATATTTCACGTCCGCTCGAAACACATTGAACTTGATGTTCACTTCATTAGGGATAAGATTGCAGATAAGTACATTGACGTTCGTTATGTACCCCCACGTGATCAACTAGCGAACTGTCTCACCAAGTCTCTTATTACTTCCTGCCTATATGACATGCGCTCCAAACTCGGGATCATTCCATCACCCCTACAGTTTGACGGGATGTTAAGACAAAACATAAATATTTTACATTAATATTATTTGATTTACCTCCCACTTATGGCATGCAATATATTCTGTACAGCTTGTAATAGGCCACAATCATTGACCTTATTAGTGGGCTATGATTGTGTTGTTGCCCTCTCTGGATCCGGATTTTTTTTTAAATTATGTTTTCTTAAATAATGTTGGTATAAATAAAATTTAAAGAAAAATATGTTTTTCCAAACTTATTTAGAAAATAATGCCTGAAAATTAGGGTAGGATTTCGTCAAGTCACCATTCCAGTCAGTTTCTATAATTTTTATCTACAAACACAAAATTCCTGAGGCACTCTTTCTCGCTCTCACCCACTTCCTTCCTCTCACCGGTAGCCTTGTCTGGTCGGAGGATTCTCCCCTTCCCTTCATCCTCTATTCCCCCAATGACGTTGTTTCCTTCACCATCGCCTACAGTCATTTCGACTTCCACCATGTCTCCGGCCATGGAATTGGATTTGGAATTTTGTCCTTTGCCACCGGAACTAACCCCATCATTTGAAAGAGGCCCCAATGTTGTTCGAAACCCAAGAAAAAACGATCAAAATGCCTGTATAGAACCTAAAAATGAAAGAAAACCAACCGACGAAACAAGAAAAAAAGAAGGGATTGGGGGTGAGATTATGAGGAGTGTGAATTTGAAAATCATGAAACCCTAGAAATTGTGGTCAACTGGGATGGTCGAACTAAGTCCCACCCTAATTTTCAGACGTTATTTTCCAAATAAGTTTGGAAAAACACATTTTTCTTTAAATTTTATTTATACAAGCGTTATTTTAAAAATAATTAGTTTAAAAGAAAACATTATTTAAAAAAAAATCCAATTCAGAATTCCTATTAACATACCTTGTTCTTCTCTTTGGCATGATCAGCCAAGAGCCAATTACCATATCGTTTTTAAAATCTCAGTTTAAATAATAAATATATATTAATTATAAATCTTAATTTTCTTCTTTGAAATAAAAATTGAAATTTCAAAAGATTTAAAAAAATGCAATACTTCTACTGATATATATGAAGATGGTAAATAAAAAATCATTGTACTGGAGATTGTATTTTAATTTGTTTCTAAGAATACAAAGGGTAAAATCTTCAGTTTAATTAAATATTGAAAGGGATATTGTTTTAGGGGAAATAAAATTGGAAAATGTAGAAAATTAGTATTATAATCTATATATATTTGTTTAATTGTTTCAAAAAAAATATTTGTTCAATTACATATTGAGAGGGATATTTTTTTAGGGGAAATAAAATGGGGAAACGTAGCAAATGGGTGTGTGTATATATATATAGCTAAAATATATAGTTTTATTTTTTCAAATTTGGTCCTTAAACTTTTAAAATTAATAATTTTACCTCAATGTATTAAAAATTCTCGATGAGGTCCTTTTATAATGAAATTTGTTAAAATTTACTACCCTAAATCTAATGTATCATTAAATAATTATTGTTTTATTAATACATTTAGACACGTGGACATACTATTTGGACATACCAATTTAAATGACAAATTAAAAAGAAAAAAAGGATTTTGTAGATTTTGTTGATAAACAAGATGGATTTTAGGTTTCAAGTAGAATTCAGGTGACATGTCCCATATCTAAATATTTTAATAAGACAACAATTATATTTAATGATACATCAATTTTTTGTTAACAAATTTTAACAATTTTTTTTAATGGAGTGGTCTAATTGATAATTTAAAAATATATTAAAGGTAAAATTGAGAATTGAAAAAATTAAGAACGAAATTCAGAATAGACTCAAGGATTATAGATCAATCTTATATATTTAGCCTTCCATTTATGTCGGATAAATGTCAACCAGATATAAAAATTTTCAACAAAATATCATTAATATTGATCTAATATTATTGCCAAATAGAGATAGAAGTGGTCAAGGTATTTATCTTTGACCAAGAGGTCATGAGTTCGAATCCCCAACTCCGTTATATTAAAAAAAATATTGAACTAATATTATTAAAAAATTAATTTATTTAAAAAGTATAAAATGTTTATTTGTTAATTTAAATATATTTCTTCTTATAAATTTTTTTGACATTTTATCAATGTTTACATAAAATTGCAACATATATGTCAATAGATTTAAAATCTTGCTTTTAACTTTATGAAATTAATTTTAGAAAAATTTTAGCGATATTAATTATTCAAAAAAAAATAATTTGTTTTATTTTGAGTGCATGCATGTAAGAGGTGGGCCTCCAAGAAACAGTTCGATTTGACTGGGACTTGAAGTCTCTTGGTCATACTGGTTTAGAGATTTCAAATTCGAACCTTCTGATAACTTTAACCAAAAATCCTTTTATATCTTTCAGGTCTTGACTTTGGAGTGGGCACAAGTGCCCTTGGATATAGGGAAGGAGAGCTTCGACTTCTAAAAAAACATAGGGAGGGAGGTGGGGATTCAAAATTTACTATATAATGTGACTATTTTTTAATTATATTGCTTTTGCATATTGTTTTTTTAGTAGTTAAATTGTATAAGTTTGATACTTCAAATTTAAAAGTTTTTAGTATAGCCTCATGAACTTTCAAAATAATGTAAATTCAGGGCTCGTTTGATAATGTTCTTGTTTCTTGTTTCTATTTCTTCATTTTTTAATGGAGAAAAATAAATTATATGGTTCAAACATTCATGAATTCAAGTAATGATAAAACAATATTTATAATTATGTTTTAGAATAAATTAGAAATGGAAATAAAAAAAAAAGAAATTTGTTTTTGTTGTTTCCAAAATTTAGATACAACTACGAGAATGTTTCCAAATAAGGAGAAACAAGAAACAAAGTTAGTGGTAAAATGCTTATATTCCTTTAAAAATTTGGAAACGAAAAGAAACGAGAACGTTACCAAATAAGCCCTCCGTGTCATTTCTACACTTTAAAAAGTATCTACAAGGTATTGAGCTTTTAATATTATATTCAATTATAGATCTCTGTGGTTAACTTTGTCAATTTAATACTTATATGACATGTTGATTATATTATTTAATAATTATGTGGGTGTGAGATAATTTTGAAAATTAATTCAAGACCATTTATGAAATCAAAAGACAAAATAAAAGTCAGAAACTTATATTACAACCTGATAATTCAGACACCAATAATTTTATAATTTTACACTTTCTTTATTTATAATATTGTAATTTAATTTTCTAATAAAAAAAACAATTTTAAGGAATCGTATTCAAACATTAATTCAAAACTATATCTATTTGTATATGAACGCAAACGTATATGAGTGCTAACTAGTTTACAAAATAAAAAATATATGAAATTACAAACAGATCATNTTTTTTTTGTAATTTTGTAATAATATTATTAAATATCTTTTTATTTATTCATAGAAGGGTAAAATTAAATTTTATTTCGAATAGGACCCCAACTTTTGGATTCGGTGTCTACTAAATCTATGAATTTTTAAAATTGTCTAATGAATTGGGAATTTATTAAACACATAATTGAAAGTTATATATCTATTAAATATTTTTAAAAGTTCAAAGACTTATCCGATATAATGAAAAATTTTGAAACATGTTATGCCGTAGCAAAAAATTTAAGAATGATGATCAATGCAAATGTGTACGAGCTAGGTTCTCGTGGTAAAAATAATAGAATTTCTCGTTCGGTAACTTCAAATCGAGATCGATTCTCTTCGAGTTTACAACTTTGCAAAGACCATATATCGAGAATTAGTAATAGATTGGATTAATTAACTCAAAAAATCAAATCAAATCAAATGATTTAGCCTATGAAAGGGACATTGGAGGACCACTTTTTCACTTGTTTTGAATGTTGGGACATACTTTCCACATGAAACCATCACATTGGAATTCTCCATGATTACAAATGGTAACTTCATGAGTCCAAAATTAGGACAATTTTAATATGTTACTTGAATAAATAATCTAAATATAATTAATTTTTTTAAAACTTTTTTCCACTCATCGTGAATTAATTATATACTTTAGCATATTTTTATTAATTCAGTACTACATATTAGGTATATTGTTTTGCTAATAAGATGGATATACGGTGGCTGGCGAAATATTTTTATCGGAAGACATTCATGGAACGTTTTAGATATAATTAGTGACGAATATTTTCATTAGGAAATTTTAAAATTGTTGTAGCTAACGTGCAATTAATAGATAAGTTGATTCCATTAAAAATTTTGGTTGATAATGATGTTTGTTTACTTTTTCCGATGAGAATTATGTCTAATGAACGGTTCCAAAGTTATGTCTAATAAACTTTAATTAAAAAAATATATAAAAATAATAGTGAAACCAATGTAAGTAATGATGGAAATGTCGAAATCTCATATTACGAAAGTATATATAGATTAAGTGTCACCCTCAAATAAAAATATTGATTAAATGTCATGGAAGGGATATTTTTCAAAAAGAAAATTATTGAAATAAAAAATTTATAATAAATATTTTAATTAACAATGGAGAGACATTCACTCTTTTTAAATAAGCAAAGTTTAGTAATATTAATATTAGTGATTTTTTTATATTTTTTATATTTAGTAAAAAAAATTAATGAACCTTTTAAAATCGACTTTAAGTTATTTTAGGATTTAGGAAAAAAAAATATAAATTAACTATTATTTAATAAAAGTAAAATATTATTAAAACTAAAAAGAAGCTCACAGCTTGTATATGTTTTAATGGACATTCAAAACCATGAGAAAGAAAGAAAATCAACCGAGCTCTCGGCCATGGCTTCCTTCTTCACCTCCGAAACCCCTCATTTCTTCAAGATTATTCTCCACCAGAATCTGATCGAAGGAAAGCTGGTACGCGAATCGCCAACACACATCTCTAGTTAATTTTTTCTTCTTCAACACTTCAAATCATTAATTAACTTTTTTTTTTCTTTCGCATTAATTCAGGAACTTCCGAAGAAGTTCGTGATGAACAATGGCGGCTCTCTGTTACAAAGGACGGCCAGTTTAAGGCTTCCGAGCGGCGCAAAGTGGGAGGTGGAATTGAAGAAATCGGACGGCAAAGTCTGGTTCGGAAGAGGCTGGCCGGAATTCGTGGAGTTTTACTCTGTGAAATTGGGATATTTCGTGGTTTTCCGCTACGAAGGAAATTGCTGCTTCAACGTCGTCATATTCGACCTCAGCGCCACGGAAATGGATTATCCGGTTCCGCTGAAGCGGATTTTCAATCGGCGTAACAGAGGTTTCGATCGACGGCAGCCGCTTCTCGTCCCGAAAATCGAAGACGAAGAAGATGACGACGACGACGGCTCTGTTCGAATGTTGAACGGCGTTTCGCGGAAGAGAATGAGAGAGAGAGATCAAGAAGCACCTGTGTATTGTTCTCTGCGCAAGATGAAGAAGATGATGAGGCAGACCGTGAAGATCAAGCGGCGATTCACTACGCCTCAACGGTTCAACGATGATGGAGACGAAGAAGAAGAAGAAGATGAAGAAGAAGAAGAAGAAGATCTGGAGATGAACTACTCACGAAGACAGAACAATTACAGAGGTTCGTAGTTCGTACCTTCAATTTCCACAAAATTAATTTCAATTTCACCATTCCGTTCCAAAATCGGATGAATTCTTGTCGATTCAGCCTCAAATCACAGAAGCGGCGGACGATTCAGTCCAGAATCGATGCGACCAGAGCAACCTCCAAGGATTCCGCAGCCATTAACAGAGAATCAAGAGCGGCTTCTGAGGAGAGCGAGTGCGTTCAAATTCGCGACGCGGAATCCTTCATTCATGGTGACGATGAGGCCATCGTACATCCAAACAGGAAATTATCTGGTAAAATTAAAAACACTGCTTAAACTGCGATTATCTTCAAATACGTTCATATATTGTTCATCCCGATGATGATTACAGAGCTTGCCGAGAAGCTTCGCGGAGAGATACCTGAAGGAATCGGTGGATGTGAAGCTGGAGGCCGCCGACGGGAGGATTTGGAGCGTGTGGTGCGGCGTGCGGTGGGCGTTCACGCGGCGGCGGACGGAGCTGAAAGCCGGCTGGAAGAACTTCGCGGTGGAGAATGATTTGCAGGAAGGCGACATCTGTGTCTTCGAATTGATCAACAGATCAACCACCAAAGTTTTGTTCAGAGTTACCATTTTTCGCCGCCCGGATAATTAAATTAGATTAAATTATTTGCGTTTTTAGAAATGCTCAGAATTCGGTACTACAAATTTGGATGTTTATTGATTTTAAAATTTAGATGGAATTTATGGTTTAACAAAGAAAAAAAAAAGTGTTTGATTTCAATTTTAAAATATATCAGAATGATGGGTCGTTGCGTTGCGATTGTGAGTCTCTGGCGAAAGCGCAGAAAAAAACATCAACTTCATGCAGATTTCGATTGCTAATTGCTATGACCGTCAACGGGGGTAATTTTGTCATTTTCATCACATTCCCAGCTTCTCCATTTTTTTCATTTTTGAGAAAATACAGAGAAGGTAATCTCCAACCACATGCAATGGTGATTTTGTAACATGTTCGGACTCCTTTAATGTCATTTTGTCCCTAGAGCGAGCTCTAGATTCAATGGTGATTTAATAGAATCGTGAGTATGGATATTACTTCTGTTTGGGTGTTCATGAGTCGAGTTGTCTAATCGTCCTAATTTTACAGAGCAAACAGTCATTTTTAAGTTACGAACCCAATTCAAACCAACCTATAAAAATTAGGTTGGATTAGCTTGGTTTCCATTAATGTTTCAATCTAAACTTATATATCTTGAGGTTTTTGGTAGAGCTGTTATGTAACTTCCAAATATTTTAACTAAGGTTATGTTCAAAAAATGGCGACTACTCAGAAAAATTCTAAACAACTAACCTAATCTATACAATTTGGATTTAAAAGATAATGAACTAGAAGCGTGGGTGAATTTTTTAAGTTAATAATAAATTTACGAAAATTATGATTAAATATTATCCTAAATTAGGTTGGTTCATCTTGGTGGACCCAAGAATCGAACCAACCCAATGGAGTAGAAAAAAAAATGGTGTAAACTGAGGAAAGTAACTTCGTAAGTATTAGAAATTCCCTCAAAGTTGTTCTTCTACATCTTTAATTTCCACTCCCGTCAGCATAGATAGAAAAAGGTCCATAATTAAAGGAAAATAATTTGGCCCTAAAGAACAAGCAATAATATTACCAAACATTATCAAGGATAAAATAATAATTCACATTTTCAAATTAGTAATTCCTATATAAATAATAAAATTATAGTTAAATTACAAAATTTAACCTTATGATAACTTGACCCTGTATAATTTTTTATTCTTATAAAATGTTGTTACAAGTTATTACAATATTAAACGCATGAAATTTTTATAACTATAAGAATTAAGTTGAAGTTAAACTGAAATTATAAAAGCCAAATTAGAAGTTTCTAAAAATTACTCTAACGAAATTTGGTCCAAAACATAAGCATTTGGCATGCGGTGTTACAATTTTGGTTTTTGTTGATAGTTAACTTTTTTTTTAAAAAAAATTAGGTTTATAATTTAAAAAAAAAATGTGTTTGACGTTAATTTAAAAGATATCAAAATGATGGGTAGTTGTGACTCTCACGCAAAGCCCAAAACAAACATTCATGCAAATGAGAGTGAAAATTACATTTTCATGATCTAGCTATGACCGTCAACGGGATCAATTTTGTCATTTTCAATATGCCCATCATCATATTCACATCTACCATGAGAAAATACTCTTCTTTTATTTCATAAATAATATTTTGGTGATTATTAGTTAGTATCGCGATATTAAATTTTTCAACATTTTTATCTATTCGTAGGTTCGACATCGACATAAGTGGTAAATTGACATTTTCATAATATTACAAATAATTCAACAAAATATGAAAAGTATCAAGGAAATCTAATTAATATAGACACAATATTAATATCCAATTATTTTTAAATTATTTAGAAATCATAAAATACTATTTTGTTAATTTAAATCGTGTTTACTAATTTTTTTAATTTATTTTATAACTTTTCCAGAAATATCTATCGACGCCGATATTTTATGGATATTTTCGTTGACATTTTCATGAAATTAAGACCTCGACGTTTGCATTAATATTGATATTTAAAACCTTAAAATAAAAGAGGAGATTTTTTTTTTCTTTTTCTAAAAAAAGAAAGAGGAAAATACTTAAAAGCGAAACAATCTATTTATACGGATTCTTAAAAAATGGGGAAAAAATAGACCATCATAATATATGACAAATGTAATCTCTTGGATGCCCTTGGGGCAAGATCAAATCAAGAATAGCCAAGGACTAGAAAGCACAGTTAGTCTAGTGCCATGTCCAAAATATCAAGACTGCTTATTCTCCTAAAGCAATAAAGAGACAAGACCTCTTATATCGGAAAATTAAGAAAGTCAAGTGTTAATTTAGGCCCGACCACCTTCCCCTACCCCGCCCAAGGAACTTCCCATGTATCTATTTGAATGTAATAAACTTATATTGTTTGGCCTCTGAATATTTGAGAGAAATAAAAAAAATAGAAAACTTTTTAAAAATGAATGAAGTCTAAATTTTTCAATGGTGGTTAGAATAGATACACACGTCTCACCTGGATTTAAATATTTTCTTAAAAGATAAATAACCGTCAAATTTCTTCAACATGTCTCAAAGTCGATTTTCGGCCAAAATCGACAGGAGGTCAGACCAAACTGATGTACTGATTTAAGAAAAAAATTAAAACAGGTATTCAAATCGAACTCTTTAGAACTCAACTAATCAGCCTAGATTAGAAACTGATAGAATTTCGATTTCATAGGTTAAATGTTGAATCAGCTCTGATTGGCTACTGTTGTAATTTTATTTTATTTTTTTCTGTTTAAATTTCAGCTTAATTACACCCCTAAATCCAATACTATAACAAACAGCGGTTATAAACTTAATTCTGAAAAATTATGTGAATTTTTTTGGTTTAAAAAACACATTTGTTCATAAATTTTTAATTCAAAAAATCATTTACTAGCACGTTTAGTTTTTAGGAGAGTTTCTTACCCAGGTAGATAATGATTTCTAGGTAATGACTTAGTCTTTATAGTTTCAAATTTATATTGATTCAATAATTGTGGTAAAAAAAAATTTAGGGGAATTTGTTACCCATGTAATAAAATTGTTAAATCACTTCAGGACCCAATGTATAATACTTTTCAATTATAGGGACTAAAATATTGAAAGATAATTTTTTTTGAATAAGATGTTAATTTTATTCTAACTGACAAAATTATAAAAATTTTAATAATTTTTAAACTACCAATACTAAAATGTTGTATACTACAATTTAGGTAAAAATTCTTGCAAATTTGAAAGTAATAATCAAATGGTTAGTTACTAAAGTTTAGAAACTAAATTGTTATGGTTGAAAGTACAGTTATAAATAAGGTTAGAAATATCCTACAAATAATTAAATTTTCATAATCTATCGGCTTAAGTTTTGATATTTGTTTATGCAAGAATTTGCACAACGTCAATCTAGTTCGACCTCGATCTTTGTTCCGACCTGAATCGCCGAAGGAATATATGCACAAGAGGGCAAAATCTTCGACGCTCAAGTCAGTAAACAGTTCGGACTCAATATTAAGTTCGAGGAGAAATTTGATACCTAATGGTGAAATGAGATCCTCTATTTAAAAGTTTAGGTCCCGACAGACGGTTACCTCGGTCAAATTAGCGGTCGGACGTGTCGGGTTCGAGCAGATCGAACTCGGACACTTTCCTGGAAATGACAGGTTAACCCCTTAATAAGAAATGGCAAGTCTTCCATTCTCGGAAGGTTCCAAGATGGAGCTCCACAAGTTCATTCCTTCGAATCTTCTGTCAGTGACGAATCTCTGTCCTCCACATGGCAATAGGATTTCTCATCCCCAAACATCGGCCCCCTCTCGCACTTCATACCCGCAAGTCTTTAAAGGTTCTAAATTTTCTAAATCTCAATTCACATCTTACCTCGAAACTCGTAAATTCTAAAGTTTTGAATTTTCCAAGTCTTAATTCACATCTCACCTCAAACTCGTAAGTTCTGAAGGTTCGAATTTTCTAAGTCTTAATTCACATCTCACCTCGAACTCGTAAGTTCTGAAAGTTCCAATTTTTTAAGTCTTAATTCACATCTCACCTCGAACTCGTAAGTTCTAAAGGTTCGAATTTTCTGTCTTAATTCACATCTCACCTCGAACCCGTAAGTTCTAAAGGTTCCAATCTTCTAAGTCTTAATGCATATTTGGCCCCCATTTAATTTCACATTGAACTCACGCCCTTAGGAGACATGAAATTAAATAACACAGAGTCCAATACTGGTACTATTCCTTGAAAATTTTATAAGTCCAAATCATTTTCGGACCCTTTCGACATTTCAAGGGTAATATCTCTTCAAATGCTCTATGTTCCACGGGTGCAAGAGTAACTTTCCTTCGAGATCGGCAAGCATATACGTCCCAGGTCGGACTATACCCTTAACTTCGAATGGCCCCTCCCAACTTGGCTCCAACGCCTCAACATGCTTCTGCACTCTGCGAAGGACTAAGTGTCCGACTTGGAAACTCCAAGGTCGGACTCTCGAGTTGTAGTGCCTTGCCATTCAATTTTAGTACTCCGCCAAACGCAGTTGGCTCTTTTCGTTGAGGAGGTCGAGGTTGAGGAGAAGCTCTTCCTCGTTCCTAACATGCTCGTAGTAGTTTATCCTCTCAGTTGGCATCCCTATTTCTAAAGGCACTACAACCTCGAAACCAAAGGCCATGGCGAAGGGGGTTTCGCCAGTGGACTCCCGAGGCGTAGTTCGGTAGGAGCAGAGCACTTCAGGTAGCTCCTCGGCCCACCGTCCTTTCCTTGTGTCCAGTCGTAGCTTAAGGCCATGCTTAATGATTTTGTTGACCGTCTCTACTTGCCCGTTGACTTTAGGGTGAGCTAAGGACGAGCAGAGGTGACTAATCCCGAGCTTGCGGCAAAAGTCTTTGAACTTGGCATTGTCAAACTACTTGCCATTGTCCGTCACAATAGCGTTGGGTATGTCGAAGCGGCAAACCACGTTTGTCCAAATGAAGGTCGTGACTCTGGCCTCCGTGATTGTCGAGAGTGCTTCGGCCTCGACCCATTTGATAAAGTAATCCACGGCTACAATAGCATACTTAGTATGCCCCTTGCCCAATGGAAAATGTCCAATCAGGTCAACTCCCCATTGTGT